CAACACAGAAACACCAGAGTCCTTGTATTTTTGTGGACACAAGTCGTAGAAAGGCTCAGCCAGAGCCCCTGACTGTAATTCTTGTTTTATTGAGTCAGAGGATGATTAGTAAAGTAACTTATTCCTGACGCTGTTTCACTTTCTGTACTCTCTCCCTCTTTGTCTTTAGTGCTGTCCTACTAAGCTTTGCAAATAATTTACTTAATGCTCTTCAGAGGCCACAGTTTCAGAGACTTAGGAGACCTCGGTACCCCTCCAAGTAAGGAAATAACTTTTTAAGAAACAGGGCAGTTTCATTCAGACTCCACTTCTATTTATATAACACAGCTTAAAATAGCCATTGTGGTATTAGATACAAAGAGTTATGTTAATAAAGCCTAAATTCTATTGAGGTCCTTAAGTCAAGTGCTGCTTTTTAGCTAAGCGCTTGAAAGCCAGTCTGTTCAAGGTGTTTCAAGGTATTACGGTATTTCTTAATTCAAAGTATTTCAAGGTATTGCAGTACTGATTCATTTTACCTACCCTCTTTGTGCCCCGCTTTCCTAAATATGCAAATGAAAAGCCTAGGAATTCTGTCTTATTCAATTGTAATGCACCTGTCATCACAATATCTAGACACCTGCCTTTCTACTTCACAGAAGTATTGTGAGAGTGCATTAATTAACGCTTGTAAAATGCTTGGAGATCCTAGGATGGAAGGTGCTAATGAGTTGTGAAATATTATAATGCTGTTGCAGAATATTCAGTCTCTCTCTCTTTATAAGGAAAGACTTGCGTCTTTCCTTCATTGCTTTTTATGTTTCTAGATGCGTATTTTGCAATAGAAGGTAAGTCTAAGCAGGAAAAAAAAAGGATTAAACAAGGTAGAATGATTGCTAATGCTGCTAGTTTTCTTGTGAGGAAGCCAGTTGTTTTTATGTACTTCTTTGCTTATTGAATTTTCTTTTTGTTTCTCTGATGAACCCATACTTCAATGGCTTGTTGAGAATTCTCTGAACATTCAGAAATGTCAGGGGAGAAGATTTTCTTCTTCAGATTGCCAAGGCCTTCATTTGCATCCCCTAAATCAATTCTCACACATGATCAAAGCAGTTCTGGAAATTTTCAAGTGTGGGGAAAACCAGTCCTATAATTCTTTCTCCTCTAATATATACAGTCAGGTTCCAAAGATTTAAAAAAAATAATTAAAAAAATCTTCATCCACGGAATCAAAAAACACATGCATTTTATGCCTTGTTATGTTGAGAAGATTGCTACTGTGTATTTGGGGACAGCAAGGCTAGAAAAGATGTAACAGGTCATCTCTGTGTGTTTTCAGGCTGGTAAGGGCATTGCTCTAGTGTTTTGTTGTGAAGTTTCCTTTTGAATGACCCAAAAGATGCCACTAGTGCCTCTTGCCTTACAAAAGTACTCTGTTTCATAGATCTTGCTGTGAAGAATTAATTTTTTATATTCACCTTGAATTATCTTTTTCTTAGTGACATCATTGTTCATTCTTCCTGCTTGGCTTAGACTGATAAAGCCATATCAGAACAAAAAAAATACTGTAATTCAAATTCCAAAAGTACTTTGGGATTTTCCTGTTGCTTTCTCTAGTGGGACTGGGAGGAGCTGGAGTGGAGCTGCAGCACAGCCGCTCGGAAACTGGTCTGTTGTTGCCTTCAGCTAATATTTTGCTTGGCTGTGCATGCAACTCTCTCATGAGCTTAATGATGCTACTGCGTAGTCTCTATGGCAATTGGTCCCCTTTCAGAAGTGGTTTCAGGCAGCTGTGACAGACAAATGCTCAGTAGAGGAGACAAAGCAAGGTTCTGAGTTCTGACTTCCCATTAAAAGCAATCATAATCTGGGAACAAACTGTTGTGCAGACATTAATTGTACTGAGATGAAAATAAGCCCACACTCAGTTCTAGCCTCTTTAAATAAAGACTGGACTGTTTTCTCAACCCAATTTTAGACTACTTGAAGTTTGGACCCTTTCCCCAAACCTCCTCCCTTCTGAACAAGGGTCCAAGACTAACATCTAGAAGTAACAGTGTGTATTCAGTGTGTATGCAAAATCATTTATGTTCCTGGGCTCTTACAGTCAGATCCAGATCTGCTGTTGACTTAACTGAGCACGTCTCGCTTCTCTCTGTATTTATGGTATGCACTGGCTTCCTTTAAGTAGCAAGCAAAGGCGTTCATTTTTACCTATCACCTTATCTTTTCATTTCTGGCTGCTCAGCTCCATTCTGACAAGTGCAATAAATGTGTCCTCCTGGGTCCTTGCAAGCCGGGCATTAGTCACACTGTGCATTTCAAGGACATCAGTCCGATAGTTTTTCAGCTGTAACAGAAAACATGTTCTGCCAGGAGCCATTTGTTCCAGTTTTGTTGCTTACTAATAAAATAAAAGTCAATGCTTTTTTGGAGCTTGAGAAGCAGGTCAGGGAGTAGGAGTGAGAGAGGTGGTAGAAATGAAGGTGCTGGAGCTGGTTCTTGGAGTTTCTCTGAAATAATGGCATGTGGCATTTCAGAGAAAGTGAGAATCTCTGTCAGCATGTGAAATGCTGTTACCTCTGGCAAACAGTACAGCTATTGTTTAACAGCATATAGGACTGGGGCATAGCAGGTCTCACACTGCCCAATTTAAATCAAATTTAGTTCTGCGAACAAAATTTGAGAGGATGTTGTATTTGCCATACTTGTAGAGTTAGTGCCAATGGAACATCAGTGGTGATACGGATCAGAATCTCATTTTGCTGTTTCCAGCACTGGTGGAGGACTCAAAGTCTGTGTCCTCAACCACTGCCCGTTCAAACCACTTAGTCATCTAACTAAACAAAATCATCTAACTGATCTCAAAATACAGGCTAAAGAGTTATTGGCTTTACTGAATCAGTGCCTGAGTCACCACTGACTCGGAGGAGTTTTGCTTAGAGAGTGAAATGCAATCAATGCCTTCTCCTTCCTTGGAGATTTCCCAGCTTCATCGTGACTGATTCAGCTGATTAATTAACCTGGTGCTGGTAGTGTCATTGTACAATAAATAAGGTTTACCTGGACATGGCATTTCTTCTCTTAAAAATGTCTCTCCTTCCTAATTCTGCAGAATCAGAAACATTTAAATGAGTCCTGATGCTCTTACCGTGTGTGTGTTTCCCCGCTGTAATCCATGATGTGGACTGCAGAGCAATTTTGTTCTTTAAACTGTCTTTTCTGCCATACCTAATGAACCCAGCTTGTTCTCCAGTTTAAAGGTAATAATTTATTTTGGTTTAGAATGTGTGTATTTGTATGCCGACTGGCCACTGACTTACAAGCCTTCCTCGGGTACTTGATAGTGACATTCAGGCTCTGTACATAGTTATATTCCTAATTGAAATCCAGTATTGGGGCAAACAGACTTGTGTGATATCATGTATTCATCAATGGGCAATCATCTCTAACTGATGACATCTTACCTTGCAAATCTTTACTAATGGGGTAGTTCTTACTCATGCATTAGGTTAATAAGAGGAGTTGGAGGGTCCTACTGAGTGGGACAGTCCTTCTACTCTCCATACAAATGAAAAATACCTCATGTAGCCTAATGTCAGCCGGAGCTGCGTTGGCAGAATGTAAAGACTCAGCTCTCTGGCAACAGATGGGCTACAGGCTTCTTCTGACATGATCTGCCATCCAGCATATGTTAGACAGGCTGAGAAATCAAGGGGTTTTAGACTGAGGCTTTAGCTTTATTTAAAAACAGAAAGATGTCTTAGCTCTCGATGGCGCAGGTGGCTTCGGCACAGGCGATGAAGTAAGTGTGGACTCACTCGGTCGCCTGGTGAAGGGATGGCTCCACAGCACGGTGATCGGGGTGTTCCTTGGGTTGGACCTCAGTGTGTTTCTCCTCAAATTCCTTTTCCGTTCTGCAGTCGCTCATTCGAGCAAGATCCAGCAGGTTTTGAGGATGGAAGAAGCCGTTGGGTGGGGAGAACAGTTTGCCTTTGAATATCCAAACGCAGGGCCTTGCTGTGGGCCAGATTCTGGCAATTTCCTGAGCCTTTGGTGACTGGTCACGGGGGTTCCTCAGGAACCCCCTTACTGAGGAACCCCCTTACTCAGTGAGGGGGTTCCTCACTTTTGGTTGCCTGGTCCCCCCCATCTCCAGCCCCAGGGGGGGGGCAGGTGGCCCACAGGGGAGGAGACAGGACCAGGCTTGCCGGGGAGGGAGGGGGAGGTTTTCCCGGAACAGATCAATCTTGGTATTTAAATTGCATAGTGTTTTAAAATAAAGAAATACCACATCTTCTAGGATCTTGAACATTCTGGACTTTATTTTTATTTCGCTGGGGGAGTGAAATGGCTAATAGGCACAAAGCATGAGTAGTCATAATCTAATTATAAAATAAGTTGGTCGCATTTTAGTTGTCAAAACTCTGATCATGGTGTTTTTTTTATCTCTTTTGTTGAAACATTTTCAAATAGAAAAGTTATTTGCTCTTTGGTCAAACATTTCAGCTACAGGACAGGTTCTTCTTATGAATTATTATTCTTAGGAAACTTCTTGAATTAGATGGCGGGGGGGGGGGGGGGGGGGGGGGTGTGAGGTTAAAAAACAGCTTTTTGCCTTTTTGCAGGAAGATGAGCGAGCCTTCAGGTGAAAACGTTTAAATGGGTTTTCACTCTTTCTGGAATGCTTGGGGCTTTAATCACCCTTTACTTCAATCAGCTGCGTGAGGCTTCGAGGGGGGGTGGAGGGGGAGCACCGACCCCCTGCAGCTGCGGCAACGCAGGTGGAATAAGAAAATCTAACAAACCCACAAAA